TGGCCCAATCCGCCCCTGCCAAGAACTAGACCAAGTAAAAAATATACTTGAAAACTACCATTTTTTGTGGATATACATATTCCTTCTATTTCCAAAATATTTATCTCATTAATCAAACTATTTAAACATGAATCATTACCAAATTTTTTCAAATCAATTGATTTTACTAATGCTGCCACAAAAATATTAATTAACTGAGAATTATTTTTGGCTAATGGAAAACTGTAGTAAATTGCTGTAATGGTCTGGAAATTAGCATGTGATCCTAAAGGGTTATTAATCTCTACATCATCAATATATAAAAAAAAGGAAACACTATTTTTCCTTCATATAAAGATGTTTTCTTTTTCCACAGATCTGCTTGGACAAAATGTGAAATAGTCTCAGTATTACTTTTTAATTGATTCAGTGTGTTGTAATGGAGTTCAAAATTATTATCGAGTTCAAAATACTTTTTAAATTGAAATTTCAAATCTAATAATGCCCCTTTAGTTAGCTTTTCATCGTAAATTACTTCACCACCATGTGGAACTGTACATACATCATTATTAATTGTAAATTGTTTAATATTTGATTTAAAATTATTCTCTAATAACCACTTACTTAAACCGTATTCTGTTGAACAATATTGAAAAGGATCTAAGATTACAAGTTTGAAATTTTTTATTTTTAACTTTAAAAAAGGTTCAACAGTATTTGTTTCAACAAGATTACCAACTAATTTTTCAAAAATTGATGATAAAGGTTTCAAAATATCATTTTTTATTCCATTTTTAATATAATCTATATCAGAATTGTTAAAATTATTATTATTGTAAAGACTTAAAATGAAACAAGTAGTTGACATATACAAATTTTTAACTACCTCGTCATAGTTAAATGGAATTTCAGCATTATGCAAGGGAGTTTCTATTAAGAATTCAACGTCATTAAAACTATCACTACGATTGGTAGGATTTACAATATTTGGTTCTAATATACTTTGAGAAAGAGTTTCTGAAGGATTTTGATGTTGCACAGTATGGTTCGATAAACAATGTTTTTTTAATATATGTTTTTTAAAAGTAGCTAAAGATTGAAAAGACTGGGAACACATGTCTTCGCAGCATTGATATGTACTGTTTGATTTTAACATGTGCATAATTTTAAAATGAACTACCAAAGATTGAAAATCTGTTACGTATAATTTACAAATATAACAAATCATTTTACTTACCTGTGGCTGGCGGCTGCAGTATATTATTTAGAAAACTTAGAAAACTTTTAAATTAAACTAATTAATATTGTACGTTCTCGTTCTCGTCTTTCCAAATAATAGGTATTCACACTTCACAGTCACAGTGACAACAGACAAAGCGTCACACGAAACACATTACACGGATACGTCACAATCGGTCGGTTATTATTACTGCCTTATTTAATAATGAATATTGTTAACCTAAACGTTATCATTGTTAAGAGGGGAAAACCCATCAGATATTTTAAAAATACCTTTATTTATATTGAAAATTGAATTATACTGTGTACAATTAACAATATACATATTAATAATACTAATATATTTATCATATAAATAAAATTGTAATCTACGGCATCACTATTAAAAACTAATAATGGTATAATCATATTTAAGGTACGGTTTCGTTAACGCAGTTGACTGCAGCAGTCGACTGCAAGACTGGTCTGAGCACCAGTAGTCTGCAGTCGACTGCACCGATATTTTGTATGACTGCTGCAGTCAACTGCAGAAACGAAACCGTACCTTTACAAGTATTTATAATTGTCGAAACAATATTGTTCCTTGTATTCACTATGAATCTTATCGAATTATTACAAATATTATAATACTCGACAAAAATAAAATAAACCACCCCATTAACAATACGACTCTTGGATGAACAAGATTTTTTGTTACCTGCATACATTATATAATTAAGCATACAAAATTATTTTCAAGTTAACAATTGAACCACTATTAAAAGTTAACAATTATATCTTATTAATAATACTCAGGATTTTTCTTTGAGTGCATTAATTTCCAAAATATATGTATTTATTTATTTATTTATTTAAAATTCTAACGGATCGTAAGATCCAGGTACAATATATATATATATATATATATATATATATATATAATAGTACAATATTGAAAATAATATTAATAATACAAATAGTAGTAACAATAATAATAATAATAATAATATGTAATTATAATACAAAATCCATTAAAAACATAAAGATCTATTAACATAATTATTAAGAGATACCAAGGATGTAAAATTAAATAAATCAATGTTGGGATCGTTCGCTAATGACATAATTCTGTTAATAGGTGAAGATAATAAATAATTTGTACTTTGAGAACCTATATAAAAAGTATTATTAGACCTAGTTCTACGTTGAGGAATGTTAAAATTTAGGAAACTTAATAGTTCTGGACTTTTATATAATGACCCATCAGCATTTTTGAAATAAACTTCACTTTTTCAATAACATCTTGTAACCCGACTGTTCTACCAAGGTATTTGCATTTTATTTCAACTAGTTTAGTTGGTTCATTAAAATTATTGACAATTATACCATCAGGTGAATAACCTAACCCGGGGTTGTCGTAACTAGTAACGAAACCACAAGGAACAATTTTTTGCTTACTATCCCTTGCAAATAACTCTATTGCTACACTCTCATATTTTATTCCATGTTTTACAAACTTATTAGAAAAAGTATTAGGCCAAAAATATTTGCTGGCTTTAAGAGCCCACTGTGCATCAGCCTTTTTTGAAGCTGTGTAGTAAGTAAATAATGAATAACACCTCCACCAGTAATTTTAAATTGTCGTATTTGATGCCAATAAGACTTATCTATTAAAGATTTTGATCTAATAATAATAGGGCTATCTTTAAGTTTAATTTTACTATCATAAATGGTTTGACCGCAGTCACCAAGATTCACAACATCGTACATATTTAGTGATAGTAAAATTGAATGACTATCGAAAACAAATGGCTCTGCTAATATTGTAACATTTTTATTTGAAGATAATCCTTCAGGATTACGTTCTACACTATGCAGAGCTATTGCAGAATTTGGTGCAGCAGATATAAGAGCAGATCTGAAATTACAAAAATAAATGTTTATTAAATAATAAATTTTGAAAATATTAATCAACATAGTGTTACCTTAGTTCTGATGGAGTAAATGTCAATGAAACTTTTTCAGTAGACTTCACACAACAAAAATGTTCTATGGAGACTGGTTTGAACTGTTCTAGAGATGGCTCTTTTAACTTTGACCACTGATATTGTACGTCAGTAGAGGATAGAGTATCAATATCATTTAAATTATTTCTATTAGTAAAATAATTATAGTTAATAATGCAAATAATTTATTAATATTATAGCAAAATAAAAATTAAAAACTAAGTAATATAGCAAGTTAGCTCTGCAGCATAAAGCAACTCATATATGACCCATATATAAAATAAATTATTTGTATGAATAACTAAATATAAATACTATTATGAAGTGGATTACTATAACCCTACTAAACAATTTTAAGTATATTTAATTATTATACTATGAAGTAAATATCATGATGCCTATTTAAGAATAGCAATACAGCAACAACATGTTTGCATCTTTCAGAAGCACCAGCAGCACAAGAACAGACAAATGATTCAATTTTAATTGCTGTTGAATCTACATCCAATGTCCCAGAAATTTCATGAGGTTTATCTCGAATATGAGAACTTTGTATAACTAAATCTTTTATCAATAAACCATTCTTCTATAGTTAATAAATAAATCATAAGCAAGAGTGACTAAGCAAATTTTGCATATTAAAACAATTTTGAATCATTTACATTTTAGTTAACTAATAAAAATTAAATTTACCTGCTGAACTTTACCACAAAAAATAATTTGTTTGGCTCTCAAAACTTCTTCACCTTCAACAGCATTTCTTGAACTTGTGGTACATTGTACAAAATCAAATATACTTTTTAAAGATAAATACATTGTTAATTGTTATAATTCAAAATTTAAGGAGAAATAAATAATAATTAACGAAATTACAACGACTATAAAATACAAAAATTGCAGTATTGTTAAATAAGAATTCAAAATCGGTGTTATTAAAATAAGAGTCCCACATCGGTTTAGGGGGGAAACCGCCACCCATAGTGATAACAGCGCTACCAGTGTTATTTTGTTTTCCCGATGGGGGTGTCTAGGGTGCATGTCGAGTGTTTTCCCGTTTGCCCCACCAAAATTTATATTTATTTTTCCATGCTTTTTTTATTTTTTAATGCAAGTGGTGGGTTAGCCGGGTGAGTCCCGCGGTAGACCTAAAATGCACAGTGAGATCCCTTACGCCGCACAGTGGGCCAAATTACTATTTTAGGTGGACAAAACTCATTAAATTTCGTAAAGCAAAAACTGATAAATGTTTGAAAATAGTATATCTTAATAGTATACATGATAAGAATAGCAGCGTTCGATACCAATAATTACAGGAAATTGGTCTGATATAGGTCATTAACCACTAGTCAGTCGTTACGTCTCGTCTATGCTTGCGTTCTTTCTATAAAATAGTAAATATAAAATAATTATACTGTACTATTCGTGACACCTATTATTTTTTTCAAAATGAATACCGTAAATGTACAAGGTAAGCAAAATGAAAATACATTTCTTATATTTATAGTTCTGTATACCATGATTTAACATAAAATAAAAATAAATTATATGTATAGTTGTACAAAATAAAAGGGGGGATTAGGGGAGGCTAATTTGTTTATAGACTTATACCTTTATGTACCTTAAAGAATATTAATTAATTTTCAACTGCCAAAAACCGCCAATATTATAGCAAAACGTTTTTTTTCTTTCAGAAATTACATTAAAAATAATAATTGTAAAATTTTCCAACCATCTTCCGGGCCGTCCAAAAAAATTATCTTTAATTTCGTAAAATCTAAAATACTGAACTGGGATACAATGTGTGAAGACTACGATAAGGTTCTGGAAAATAAAATATCTGGCTACTGTAATTCTTTAAATAAAAAATGGACATCATCAAAACGCACTTTAAATGTTTTTAGAAAATATAATGGAAAATGGTTAAATTTTAATTTTAATATTGGTCTACCACCACGTGAACTTCATTGTAACCTTTCAACTTCCGAAATGTCTTTACCTTCAACATCGACGGTCAATGGTGTAAGGCCAATTAAACCATTTATTCAAAGTTCCGATAAGACTAAAAGACGAAAAATAAAATCAATTTTAAATGAAAACTCGAAAGATAAAATTATTTTTGCAACCAAAACAATTTTATATTCTGATGGAAATCGCGCAGCAGCTGACCTGCTTAAACAAAGTACAAAATATTCTCCACAACGTGCCTTAAAAATCAAACACACTTATAATAATAGATTATCTGTAGTTAAACCTTATACAGCAGATGAAGCGTTGGCTTTGATAATTGACGCTAAATTAACAAAGTTTAGCTACTCAACTCAATGTTAAGAAAAGGGTCAAAGCAACGTAAGGCTGACATATATCCTTCTTATAATAAAATTAAAGAATCTAAAATTAAATGTTATCCCGATAACTATAAGGTAAATGAATATGGGGCCAGTATACCTTTACAAAATTTAGTTAACCACACGGCCAAAAGATTATTAGAATCTCTTAATATAAATGATCAAAATTTAAATGAATTAAAAAATTTACATTTACATTTTAAATGGGGATGTGACGGCAGCTCGGGCGATTCTGAATATCACCAAAAGTTTATAGAAACCGAGGTTGAAAGTGGAATAGTTAGTATGAATGAAAAATGTGATGGCAATTTATTTTTATTTTCTTTAGTTCCTTTACAGCTTGAAGGATCTAAAAATAATAGTGATTTTATAAGCGTTTTATGGAAAAATCAAAAATCGTCATCTACCCGATACTGTCGGCCAATTAAGTTTTTATTTGAAAAAGAAACCGCTTTTAATACCAAAAGCGAAGTTAGCAAAATAAAAAAGAAATAAATGAATTAAAACCTTTTGAAGGACCAAATTCCGTTAAAATACATTTTTTTTTCTATCTTACTATGGTTGACGGTAAAATAATTAACATTTTATGTAATTCATCAAGTCAAACCTGCAATATTTGTAAATGTTTTCCTAAAGACATGACTTACTTAGAACTTACTTAACTTAGAGATAATATATAGCTTGAAATGCAATGATGATAATTTACAATATGGACTATCCCCATTACATGCATGGATAAAATGTTTAGAATGCATGCTACACATAGCATATAAGAAAGGTATATTAGAGTCAAACAAAAGGGCAAGTGTCGAACAAAAAAATGAAATGGCTATTCAAAAAAAGAAAACACAAAATGGTCTATGGGTAAAATTAGGAATAAAAGTAGATAAAGTTGTGCAAGGCAAAGGTAGGTACATCTAATACTGGTAATATAGGAAGGCGTTTTTTTGAACATGCAAAAGAAGTTTCAGAGATAACTGGGTTAAATAAAATACTTATTGAACGTTTTAAAGTTATTTTAAGTATTTTGGCGTGTAGTTATAATTTGAACTCTGAAAAATACGATAATTATGCAAAAGATACTTTAAAGTTATATTTGCAATTGTATCCCTGGTATAGAATGCCTCCGAGCGTCCATAAGATTTTGGTACATGGTTCAAGAGCCATACAGCTTGCTCTTTTTCCTATCGGGATTTTGTCCGAAGAAGCGCAAGAAGCACGAAACAAGGACTACATAAGATTTAGGCGACAAAACACTCGTAAAACCTCAAGAATAGACACCAATACTGATATTTTACATATGTTTTTAATTTCCTCTGACCCTCTCATTACTTCTAAAAGTACACAAAATATAAAGAAGAAAAATAATGCATTATGTTCTGAAGCAATGAATTTATTGAGTGATATTATAGAAACTCATACTACTAGAGATTTAGAATTAGATTCGAATGATAGTACTAAAGTCTCGGAGTTTGATTCAAGTGACTGTTCTATAGACATTGATAGTGATGAAAGTTGAAATTTTTTTATAAACATAGTTATATTATGTAAATATCTTCTTCTTTTTTTAAAATAAAGTACATAGAATTAATTTTTTTTTAAATTAAGTCTATATAATTTATTATATTAATATTATTTACTTATTGCTTATATCATCATGAAAAATAAAAATAATAAGAGTTAGATTAATTTTGTTGTATAGTTTTAAGTACTCATATATTACATACATGTTTGTTATTTAAATATTAAATGATATGTAATATGAATTTAATTATTTTACTTAATATACACCGAGACTCGGATAAACATAATTGAAGAAGGTATGGAAAATTATTTTGTCAATTTGAATCAAATAAATATATATATTTATTTTTATTTATTTTTCCCTCAATGAACAACATGTTTAAAGCAAGTGAAAAGTTAAAAAAAATGTTGTCCACCTAAAATAGTAATTTGGCCCACTGTGCGCCGTGATATTGACGTCACGGTCATCCACTTCACAGGGAGGGTAGCTTAGGGTACACTTAATCACCCGGGTGTCATGCAAATAGTACTTTAATAACTTAATTAAAAATCGAATAATAGGATGACCGACTCGACACTTATACCATTAGATAACACACGTGTCCAGCTACCCTCCCCGTCATTTGCATGTAAAAAAATTAAAAACCCTGTACACGGTGAGCTGACGGCTGGAGTCTGGCGGATAGCCCTGCAATCACCCGGGTGTCATTCAAATAGTACTTTAATAACTTAATTAAAAATCGAATAACAGTATTATTTGAGATGTCTGTACCCCAAACTACAAGATAGTCGGGCTCGGAGTGTTATCAAGCACGCTGAGTCCGAGGACGCTTTATGATGTACGAAAGAGGATGGGTGACCGTTTTGGCTGATTGTGTCAGCGATCTCATTTTGCTTTTTTTTACAAGATGAACACAGTAAAAATAATGATCAACCGACATAGACCCGCCCGGTATACTATGTAATTGCCGGATATATTATAGACTCGCCCGGCATTTAATAGACTCAGCGACAAACATAGACTCGCCGTTGTCAAGGGGGGACCATTGGGAATATTTTTCGTTCGTACAACGACGAGGAAAATATATCATTTTCCATTTCGATCCGTGAAGTTATCATAAAGATATCACATTTCTACCGCGGGACTCACCCGACCAAATACGAAAGTTCTACACGGTTGGGTACCTCTCGATTTTTCTCAAAAAACCACTACTCCCCCGATCAACGTTGTTCGGAGCCCTTGAGCCTGTGTAATGTGTATTGCCTAAGTTATAAATCGTTATAACCAATATTTCGGAGTATAGAGCTATCCTCTTAAAGTTATACGCTGATTAGACTCATATATATATATGCACTCATGGGTTTAATGTTATTTTCTTTTAAAAACCTATGCCATAAATTAATTTCAATAACTACTTTATTATAGCATTCAACATAATTTTGATAAAAATGTACAAGTTGATGAAGATCTGTTTTAATATTACAATCAATCAACGCCTGAAAACCAGATATTATTTCCCTATATTTAGTAAATCGATCGTTTAACTGTTGAATAATAGATGCTCGAAGTTAGTGTTGAACCACTTGTCGCATACATCACATGGAAACGGTTTCTCTCCCGTGTGCGTCCTCCGGTGTACCGTCAATTGATTGCTTGTCGTGAAGAACTTGTCACACAAGTCACTTGGGAACGGTTTCTCTCCTGTGTGCCATCTACGGTGTACCGTAAATTGATTGCTAAACGTGAACCACTTTTCACACACTTCACATGGGAACGGTTTCTCTCCCGTGTGCGTCCTCCGGTGTACTATCAAATTCCCCTTTTGACTGACCGACATTTCACACACATCACACCAGAACGGTTTCTCTCCCGTGTGCGTTCTACGGTGTACCATCAAATTATTCTTTTGACTGAACGACTTCTCACACGCGTCACACGGGAACCGAGTCTCTCCTGTCCTAAGGTGGATCGTTAGATTGCTTCTTTTGGTGAATGGTTTATCATACACGTCCAATAAGTATTCTTTCTCACTCAATTTTGTGCTCCTTCTACATGAGCTATTATTCATTTGTATGATTTTATCCTTAATTTATTTTCTGCACAACATCAATACTTACAGCATCGATAATAGTATAGCAACGTCTGACCATCTATGTTTATTGATTTTATAACCAACTTGTATATATTTGTCAATAAACAAATTGGTTACTACCCATGACTATTTATGGTTGATTAGAACAATTTCGCCATGTTTTTTTTGTAGGAACTATTAATTAATGAGATAACTAAATCATTATTGAATAATAAATGGGAAGTATTAATACAATTTTATGATTATGACCAAGTTATGAGGTAGCTGGTTAACTGCCATTATTAGACAATAGATATTTAATGAAAGTTCAAAGTTTTTAAATGTTTTTACTATTCATAAGTAAAATGAAAAATCTATATTCAATAAATATATTGAATTGTATACCTACTGTCGCGTCTAATTTTGATAACAATGTTTATGCATTTGTACATTGTATCTTAATTAATTTTAATATAATATTTGTGTACATTGTAGTAAGCGAGTTACTACGCAACAACTAAAGTTCTAGCAGGTAACATATTCAGGGTAGTACATTGTAGATCGGTGACAATCAGATATGTCAATGGGAAATAGAAAATATCTAATTAGCCTTCGATTATGTTTAATACAATATAGTCAAAAAGCCCATGGGAGTATAATGGCCAAAACGAAAGGATAAGCAAATTACATTTTTATTATATTATATTTAAATAATACCACAACAGATTGTCACCATCATGTTCTACAATCATGTTTTGCAATCATGTAGAAAAGGCGGATGTGATATTGGCAATAGCTTTATTCAATATAAAATAGTATAATATAAAAGTATAATAGTTTAATATAATACAACAAGTAGCCAATAAATTAACTATCAGTCCATTATAAAAATACGCAGAATAGATTAGAATTTCGCAAGTACATGGGCCGGGCTGATAGTCACAAACTCACAAAGACCACATCCGTTAGAACCAAGATACAATATCACTAGGCCATGGGAGCGGGGACCGAACTATAAGAGGGACCCCGAAACGGCCTGTATTCAGACGTGTCTACTCAACGCTACTGCAAGCACCTTCACGCAGCTCTGTGTAACGATTGTCATTTGGACTCAGCACCATTGTGATTATTGGACTCTAATAAAACAACAGTATAATTTGGCAATTGTGTTATAATTATTCATCTGATACCTCATCATCACAGTAAATGGTCTAGCTACCTGCAACTGTTAATATACTTGTAACTATCAGAGCCACCAGTATATTACAACAGCATATTAATTTGTATATTTTGCCATATTTTTAAAATCGTCAAGAGTAATATTATATTAATATTTTGTAAAAAAACAAATTAGGTTTAAAATCTTGGTGAAATCCACCTTATTGATAACATTTTTTACTTTAACTGTTGAAGATGTAATAGATTATTTGTCCAAAATTTAGGAAATTTTTTTTTTTTTTTCATGCATGTTACAACATCAACTAAGGTTATTAGATTGCAAAATTATTTATACAATGGTTTCCTTAGATTAAGTTGTACATATCAATAGGTTTTAGAAATGTGATGATCTTATTGGTATTTTCTTTGTTGTTTTCTACATCGTATTAGAATTCAAAATCATTAGCATCAAAAATAAATATATGTCTATTTTACTGTCTAGGCCAGTGATTCCTAAACCGCTACTGCCCCTTTGTGGCCATTTTTTATTTTTTAAGGGGGCACTCATCTATTATTTAAAGAGAGACGAATATCGCATACCTAGCAGATATTTTTGAAAAACTTGCAAGGTGAAAATCGATTTTCAACATCATGGATACGAGTTGTTTTGGCTCAAACAAAAAACTATGTGCCCTCATCTTTAGAAAGAAGTGGAATTACTAATTATGGCTTTTCCGTCGACATACCTGGTCGAAAAAGGCTATAGAGCGGTTCAACAACTTTTGACCAAATCAAGAAACAAATTAGAAATATGTGAAAGAGGAGATTTAAGACTAATGCTGACATCTATTGAGCTAGATATCATTTCGTTAGCAGGAAACCATCAACCTCAGGGCAGTCATTAGTCACTAAGTATTTTTTGTGTTATAATTTTATATTAGCAAATTCGAAATCAAATTCTAAAATTCATATTATTAGTAGGTATTTAAATTTAAAATTAACTAAATTGTAGCGTTAAAATGTTAAATGATATTTTATCTTAAATTAAATAGGTAGCTTATTAAAAAAAAAAACGTTTATCATTTTAAAAAATTGATTGGAGTAGGGGCGATGTGAGATTTTTAAAATCTAAAAGGGGGGCGTTGAGTAAAAAAAGGTTGGGAAACACTGGTCTAGGCTATATTACAATATAATTTCTAAAAAAAACAACATTAACAACAAGTGTTGGGAAATATCTAGATAAAAATTATTTATCTTTTATCTTATATAGATAAATTTCAGCTCTGTTATATTTATCTTCATCTAGATAAAATTCTAGTTATCTATGAGTACATATTATCTAGATAATTTATATTAAAGGATTATAATCTATAATATAAAATATTAATATTTACGTCATTTTCTGTATACTGTAGTAAACCAATTACACGGAGAACAAACGTTTATTTCATAGCAATATCTGTACAAAAAATACAATTTTTTTCAGAGACAAAACCTTTAAATAATGCAAATTTACAAGCAATATCATTTTAAGTTCAAAAAGAAAAAGACATTTTGAACTAATACCCTATTATTAGAGATATTCCTAAAATATAATTATATTCATTATTAACACCTATGCGAAATAGGTTAAATTATAGAACTTTTAAAATGATTTTATATTGGAGATCAAACACGGTTTGAATTATTATTATTATTTTAAAAGCATTTATTATTATTATTTTAAAATGTTAGCTTAGAGCTTCTTTGTATTATCATTAAATTAATCCAGAGAATGACATTTTATATGTATTTAAAAAACATATTTATTTTTAATTTGTATAAAACGTTTTTTTTTTTTTTAATTAATACCACTTAATATTTGTAACACTGAACATGAAAATATATCTGATAAAATTAATTTTAGGTATTCATTTTTATCTTTATTTAGATAAACTATTAGTTATCTATTCTCAACACTGTTAACAACATTAAATATATTTAATTTATAAAAACAGAAATTATTTTGTATAGTAAATAACAATTAAAAAAAAATCTAATAATTTAAAAATAGTTCTATAGGTATTAATAGTTATCACCACTTTTTAAGATTCTGAGTGAAACGATGAATGTATTGATTTTACAATGAATTTTTTTTTTTTCTTTTGTGTCTCTGTACGTGAGAAGTAGTCGAAATAATGCTTCGATTTTCAACTTCAGTATCTTGTTAGAGTTGAATGTGAATATTGTTTTTTTTTTTTTTTTAATTTTTAAAGGCATCAACTACAAGGTTATTGGCCTACGTTACATTTGCTAAATTACATAATTACTTTTTACTACTATATTTATACATTTTAAACAAGATGACGAAGTTCAGTTTCATTTATGAATTTCATTATTTTCTTGAACGTCTCGGGAGTGGGTGAAAGTATCTCGTATAGTGTTTCCGGTAGTTCCTGTTGGATACGCATTTCGTTGAACTAGCGACATTCGAGGAGGATGTGCTTGACCGTAGTTATTGTTCCGCAAGTAGTGCAGGAGGGAGGGTCTTCTTTGACCATAAGGTATCCGTGTGTCATACGGGTGTGGCCTACTCGAAGGCGGACAAGAATAACCTCGTCCCTTCTGGACATCTCGTATGGTTTGGGTCATGGTAGTACTGTTTGCTTTATTTCTCTGAGCTTGTTATTATTGCAATTAGTCCAGAAGCTTTGCCATTCATCAATATGGTTGAATTTAATGAAATTTCGAAAGTCAAGGTGTGATATGTTAGGACATGTTTCAAAAATGGAGGTATTTGTAGTTTCTTTAGCTTTTAAGTCAGCTTTTTCGTTGCCAGATATGCCGAAGTGTCCCGGGATCCATGCGAGATATATATTATTATTGCGTTCGTTAAGTTCATTAATTATTTGGCTGATAACTGGTTGGGATTTGTTTAAATTATATATGCTGATTAAATTTCTTAAAGAATCTGACATTATTAGGTATTTCTTATCATTGGTATACTGTGTACTTTGGATGGGGATGGCCGTGAGCACGGTCTTAGAAGATAAGGTCGGACAACTATACAGTATCAGCATTCCGCTTAGTGAGGCAAATCCATTTCCAAATTTTGCCGCTGTACAATTAAGCGCTGCCCTGCAGACGTATTTTGAGGTTATGTCATTTTACTAGTTTAAAATAACCATGTAAAAAAGCACGGTCTTAGAAGATGAGATATCTAAGATAAGATAAGATATCTTCTAAGGCCGTGTACCAAAGTATTATATTTGGTATATAGGATAGTCCAATAGTCCGCGAAAAATGAAAATTACTTCGAGATACATATTCAGGTATGAGGGATCTATTGACTACTACTTACCTACTTACCTACTTACCTAATGTTGTTGTTATTACTTTATGTAAAATACTTAAATACTGAAGTCTCAATAAATTGTAATTCGCGAATTCATATTCCGCCTTACAACAGTACAACCATGAACCATTGCTAAAATAGATCTGTCTATGGAAGTGTCTATACTATAGGTAAGTCATAAGATCTATGATATTCACAGTTTACATATTATTTTAAATTATTCAAATTCAATAGTTATTACATTTTTTCCTAAGTGAATTATCAAAATATTCATCCAAAGAGTGTGTAACAAGTTTTGTATTTGAAAAATATTTATTTTTAATATAGGTATATTTTAAGTTTTTGAGAATTTGGCGATTTTTTTTTTATTTCTATTATCTTTCTTTTTTTTTCTTATTTTCTTGTTGTGAAAATTGCCTCATTCTCATTCTAATGTAATACATTACAGTAAATTAAATTACATCCCCCCCAAGACTTGAACATGGGAAATTAATTGTATTTTCAGACATCAAATCTGTGATTATGAGTTCGTATACGTGCGTGGATGAATAATGCTTAATAAAACTATTTTCAATTTTTTTGATGAAATCGAAAAAGAATATGTTTGGGTGTATCAATCGTCCCTTGGTTTTCATGTTAACTAATGCAGCACACATTTGTTCAGAATAAACTTGAGGTGTTACAAACGCTGACTTACAAGTATTGCAATCACCAATGTATTTCAACATTTGTTTGGATAGATATCCTATAAAAGAAATTAATTGATTTTTAATAGGTATTTAATAACATTTTATATAATAATTTATGGTAAATTCTTAATAATATTTTGTTACCAGTTAAATAATATATTAGAAGTCTATCACTTCAGCCTTTGCATAATTGTGTTCAACAACTTCATCAAATTCCCAATCTTTCTCTTCAATTATTTTATTCATTTTTTCTTTTAAATTTTCTACTAAATTTGAAGTTAAATTAAATAGAATATATATATATTGAAGTTAAATAGTAAATTAATTACTAAATAAGCACAAATTAAATTATTTATTAGGTAGGTATGCCATAAGTTATTATGTTATACTTACTTTTGTTGAATAGATAGTTTACCGTTTCACATAAGAATCATGCAACAAATTGTTTCAAAAAGTATTAGTGATTACATATACATCATATAATAATATATTATACTCTATTCCAAATAACAGTGCACTGGGTGGTGTACACAAACCAGTCAAACTCGCATACAATTAGACATTCTCTGTGGGGGAGAGGGTTATGATATTGTTCCACAGCTAATTTGTATGCGTTGCGGTAGTGCACTTTTATTTGAAATGATGCATTATTAACAAAATAAAATATATACAACCCTTACTCTAACTTTAAAAACATAGAAGTACCAAAACACAAACAAAGACAGAACAAATGTATGTTAAATTTATAGGGTTAGGTAGGCTACGGAGTTTTCTAATTTTATCACATGGCTAAAACTGGAAATTAAGGATATTGGGTTGCTAAATCTTAAAGATATTTATGACATATTTCATCATTTCCTATTGTAATCATGCAAAATGCTCCAAAAGAATTACTATTACCTCATAGATAGTTAATTATAATACACACACATTACAAAAAAAAAAAAAAACAAATACTAGACCTCAACATATATTGAACTTACTTTTAATACTTTGTCATTGTATAATTTGTTTCTCACATTTTTGAATAGATGAGGTGTATCAGAGAATACATATATTTTCCTATCATCAACAAGTGGATGAGGAAACCAATTTTTTAAAGAATTTATTTCTCCACTAACTCCTAGCTCCGACCACATTTTCCTGTTAGTCTGAGCACCATCAGACACAATACCGTGGACAATTGCACCTGCTTGTTCTAAAAGGATGATACATTTTATTACAAGTTTTGCCAATTCAGTGCCAACTACTGATCCTTTTGCGGCAAAAACAGCCACTGGTTGACAATATGTATCAGCAAGTGGCTGGAACATAAAAACAAGTCCACTTGTGGCTTTTTCGTTGATATCAGTTGCCTTGTACTCTTCACCATAATCAACAAGACCCTTATATGTCAGAGTTTTTGAACAAACTGTAAGTGCTTCTTGAACTGAAATTTCATCCACTAAAATAATTCCGTGTTTTTGCATTGTAGTTTTGCGTTCCAGGTGTTTTTTAAATAATGCAAAAAAGTTTTTATCAAAACCACAAGCTGTATCTATCATGGCTAGATACCGTCTTAGAGAGCTAACACTGGGAAGTGGCAGTATGTTATTTTTTTTACAAAAATTGTAGCCACTTGGAGTCCTGATATGCAACAACATACAAAGCATTATCCACTCGTCAGAATACCGCCGACCTTTTGGATTGCTGATCTATTTTTTTTTATTTATAGAAAAAACAATAGTTATTATTTGTATGTTGAATAGGATTACATGTTAACATATTACCTTTGCGGCTGAAACTATTTCTTCAATGATTGTCTTCTGGTATCCACTACAGTTCATTTCAGTAAGTTTCTGTGTAATACTTTCTTTTGACACATTTTCAAATTTAGTTAATAATTCGGACATACTTTGTTTCAATAGTTTTATTTTATTAATGCAATTTTTTTTTTGTTTTCTTAAGAGTTCATTTCTTTTTTGTAATAATGACAATTTTTTTTTACTTTTAGGTGTCATTTTTAATGTAACTCGTTTTGGTGAAGATTGTGCAACTAATCGAGCTGAACATTGCTTCAGCATCTTTCTAGTTCTTGCACAAGGAAAACAATGATATCCATGTGGAATTATTATGGAACAATTGGAATTTCTTTTGTGTAACAAAGTATCAACTATAATATTATCATTATTTGTAGCTAAAGATGAACTGCTCCTACATCATAAAATATATTAAGTAATGCATTTGATGATTAATTTATAATATTAATTACTTTTTGTCATTTAAGAAGTCTAAACCTCTACAAATTTTCATTGTTGCTGCTTCTTTAATGACATTTTCCAAATGTTGTTGACTTATCACTTTATCTAAGGAATTTTGAAACTTTTCTGCATTAATATTCTTCTCCAATATATTGCATGTTATTTTCAAATCCTTTTCAATAGGTAATTATATTTTTACGTAAAAATGAATTTATGTTTTCTCCATTTTTTATAAAAATTATTTCCGAAATTCCTACTACGGTTTTATCATTAGACAAATATTTATGCCAATTTGGAGGCAACGTTAACTCCCAAAGTTGTATTGTGTTATAAACAATCTATTAACATATCAAAACAGTCATGTTATATATTGTAAATGAGCAACAAAATTGTTCTTTTTATTGAAAAATATATTTATGTTTTTGAGTTTTGTGATTATATATTATATTGTTATTAATTATTTTACTTACTTCCTCATTGTTTGAAAAAACATTAAAATCCAAAATATTTGTAACACTAGAAGTGTTGATCACATAATCATGATCAACCATATTTTCTACAACTTCCATGTCATTAACTAATTCCTTTTCATCATTAATATTTTTTTCTTTGGCGAGTTCCTATACAAATTAATTTAATGTTTGTTTGTAAATAAATAATTACCAAACTCACTTCAACATCAGAAAAAACAGTTTCTTTTGTAGTAGAAGTACACTGTGTACTAGTTAATTCATCAATCTACAATTGATACAGATAAGGTCAGAAATTGGAAAAAGTATAAAAAAAATAGCAGATTCATAGAAAATTTACTTGACAGTTTTCATGATTATCATCAAATTATAATCTTTTTCGGGATGATAATAAATGTGGTATTGCATTTGACTTCAAACTAGGTCTTAATCGTGGAGCCTAAATATAAATATATAACTTGCAGTGGTTCTAATTGCAATAAGAAGTATAAAATACTAACAAAATTCACATTTTATGTAAAGAAATAAGTATTACTATAATTTTTAAAATAAATGATTAATATAAATCCAAAATACTATCAATACAGAATTGTTAATTTTGTATGTACTGTCTAACTTGCTAAGCCAGAGCAAAATGCAACTAGACGTTTAGACTTTAGGTGGTATTATACATGTATACCCCATAATATTATATACCATATACCAGTGGCGCACACAGGATTTCGGGGGGGGGGGGGGGGGGGTCAAGGTAAAAATATAACACATTTTACAAATAACAAAATTATGCAAATCCTTTAAATATTTTGACTTAAATTTTATACATACACTATTAGTTATAATATGACATAATATACTTTTTAATTATTATTTTTTGATTGTAATTTTAAATCTAAAACTTAATAATATAATAAATTAAAAAATTAAGAATTTACAAATTTAACTTCAATCTTTTATTTGATGATTTACTCATCTCATTAATTATATCATTCGGATCAACTTCTATATCTCTATGAATATTTAATAAAGCTAGACTATTAAGCCTATTTTGTCCTGTTGTATTTCTTAGGTAGGTCTTAATGCGTCGTAGTGTTGAAAACGACCGTTCTCCAGTGGCTGTGGTTACTGGTAAAGTAATAAATATTTGCAGCAATTTTGAAATGATTGGGTATATTTGAGGATCACACTGAAAGTACAGGTCTGTAACAGTTTTTTTGGTTTGAATAATATCTGACTGGTGTTTAGAACTATTTTGCCATAATTGTAATTCAGCATTTCTTGAATATTCACTTATATCACTCAAATTATTTTCATATATTATATCTTTAT